AAGGTGTCGAGGAATCACAAGTCCGCAAAGGACGACAGCTCTGCATTTTGCGACGACAAGACGACAAAAAACGAGAAGTCACAAGCGACCCCGCTACCGAGCTCAACGCGGAACTTGGTCTCTGGGCTCCCGGCCCGTAACTTGGTATTGCCCTGACCTCAGCTTCTCATGGCAGCCACTTTGCTGAATAGATGTAATGGGGCTAGCAGAACAGAACGAAGAAAAAAAACAATGCGTTGAGCGGCATGGCAGGGAAGTGGGGCAACATCTCCAGCAACTCTTCCTTGATCTTCAACAGTCGCCCACCTCTGCATGCACATGAGGTTCTCTGTTCAAAGCCACGTAGCTTACTGCAAGTTACATCAGCGCCGCTGCCTTCGCGCAAGGTGCTTGGCACCATGCTTGGGACGACGTTAGTAAGGAAGTCGATTGCCGTGTCAAGAATGCGAGAAACCTTGAAGCTAACCAAGAACTGATTTGAGGTTTTCTGGTGGAGGAGCCATGCTCGACTTGCAAGCTGCGGGAAAAATCTTGCAAAGCAGCCGATGCCCGCTGGCTCTCAAGCTGTTGGGCGCTGACCTCCCGGCCTCAGCATGTTCTGAAGCTGTGCAGATTATCCTCCCGCAAGAACAATCACAAAGAGTTCTGCCTTCTAGGCCCTGAAGCTAAATTCAGCCTGGTGAAACCAGTTTCCATTTAATTTCCATGTCCCTTCAATTGTCCCTTCTTGGGGTTAATACGCCTAAACTCATGATCGGAAATGCGATCTCTTCCCCAAAGTGTTTGCTTAGCCAAGGGAACAGGCAAGAGGCAGATGTTTGCGGTTCAACTGGCTTTGCTGGCAATTATCTTGTCGTCCTAAAAAACTCGAAACATCTATTTCTTATACCATCGTGCAAGCTTTGTTGCGAAAGTTGTTTGGTTACTCGCACTCCTGGCTTGGAAGGTGATCGAAGACTTGATCTCATTGGCTTTCTTGAATGAATTGGACCTAGTTCAACCACTACTATCATCAGCAATTAACAGTTGTCATGGCTGCCTTGTCATGCCATTGCTGGCCGTGTACCTACAATGTAGCAGGAACATGACAAAAAGCTGCTCCCCCAAGCCCCGTGAGCATCACAGCATCATCAGCATCCCTGGGAGTTCAAAGACGCGGGTTCCTGGCCGTTCGGCCGCAGGGTGTTGCAGCAAGGGCGGTGGGGGCACGCCAGATAAAATAGAAAATGAAATTCTTTGCTTTTCCTCCTTGGCCGCATAGGGTGCCCACTTAACTTGGCGGCATCTGCTGGTTGCAGAAGTTGGCGACTAAGACTCGCCTGATGTGTTGTTTGAAATTGAAAAGTTGAAAAGAACGAAAATGCCCACCCCATGCGCCACGACCTTCACGCTGGGGAGGGGGCGGCGTGCTGGCGAGCGCCCCACCTCCCATTAAAACCATGCATGGATGCGAGCACTTCAAGTTGGCACATAATTCCCATCACTCCCCTACATTCTGTGCGAGATACAAACTTCGGGCAAGCATTGGAGAAAGAATCTTCAAGCATTCCCACGGTGATACCCTGATACCCCAAGCCCTGACTTCAAGCAACTCATAACGCCTGAAAACCAAATGAGATTCGGTCAGCTGCGCGCTCTTGCTCTGCACGTTCATCCCGCCAGCACGCAATCATTAGCACTAGGATTGCGTTACCACTTTGCCTGTGGCGGGATGCAAAAACATACATCATGGCTTTTGGTGCCCACATAACATTGCCTTAGAAGTATGATGAGGCGCTCATATGAAGACGTACATTGGGCGAAATTGGCCGAAGGCACAAAACATGAGTTTCTGAACCTTTTTAAATCTCGCTGAGGCTTCAAGCCTCCCAACGATTTCTATGTTGAACAATGTACTCGCCAGCTTTTAGAGCCCACATGAAACAGATGAAAAGCTTTCGCAGTTTGCAAGCGGGGTTTCTATGCCTGGTGAAATGAAACGTGTTGATGATGCTGGCGCCATGAAATTGTAGTTTGTCGGGCTTGTATGACTACCACCTCCAAACTCTGGGCACTGGGAGGGATGGCGGCATTGCCCCGACACTGGTAGAGCATGCCTGCTGGGCTGGATTTGACATAGCCCGAGGAGCGCTGGGCAGCCGTCCGCTGCAGCTGCGCTACGTCTATTGGGCCGAAGAAATCGTCATAGCGGCCTCAGAGCAGAACGTGACTTGTTTCAGGGAAGGGACACACAAGGCACGAAGAGGATCCGAGGCTCGTACCTTTCTTGTCCCATGCAGCCAACTGGCCCATTGCTCTGAACAAGCAGCAATAATACCTCACTCATTTGAAGCCCGCACGAAAGAAGAACACAACGACATGCGTCGAGAAGAAGCCAGTAAATGGGGCAACTGCTGCTGGTGCTGGTGCCGGTGCTGATGCTGGTGCTGGTGCTGCTGCTGCTGCTGCTGCTGCTGCTGCTGCTGCCGCTGCCGCTGCCGCTGCCGCTGCTGCTGCGCGCACCAACTTCAAGCAAGACACTCTGCTGGATTGGGCAGCAGCCAGTCCTATCAGTGAAGCATTTCTCCAAACGCAGGGGCTACGAAGCAGTTTTACCCTGTGCCTGGAATTTGCCACAGACTGGCAGCACCTGCAGCAGGTTTCAGGTTTCTGGCTTGCCTTATCAATGCGCTTCCTGCTTTGAACAACTACATGATGCCTGGTAGGGCTTGTACTCAATCTGCTCGACTACTTTGCCTGCAACGGCAGCAACAACGAGCATAGTCAGCGTCTGCGGCGCAGAGATGCATTTTGCAGGAAACACTGCACCAAAAAATACGCGACGACTGGAGCCTTGCTCAATCCGCCCTCGCTTTGAAAAGTCGATCTTCTCCTTGGCATCGTGAAGGCATGCGCGCTGGGTCAGCAAAAGCAAGTACAGCCCTTGCTGCCCACATCTTCCCCAGCTGGAATTCTGCAGCCAAGGCAGCGGAGATCAAAATGAAGTTGGTCGTTTCGCGACAAACATCACCAAAGTAGAACTTCGCTGTTCGGAATGGGAACAAGTGTGTGAGCAACCTTGCGCCACCAGAACAATGCTGCTCACATGCATCATGGCCTGGTCAGCCCTCATTAGCAGAATGTCTTCCCTGCCAATGCAACAGGATACATCTGCACCGCGATCTCCGGACCATCCACATCACCATAGGAAGAAGTTTGTCTCCGTTCCACTGGGAATTTGTCGAAGGGATACCTGAACCGAGCAGGTCCGGGGCCTTGTGCTTGATGACATTACAGACTGTAGAAATTCTCTGAGCGGCGGATACTTGCAGAAGAGCTCTGTATGTAGATCTGGGTCTGGCTTTGCATACTCGACCTGAAAGGCAAGCCAGGTTCGAGAGTCCAGGAGTTGAAGGCGGATACGTCACGCTGTAATTCTCTTGGAACTGTGTTGCTACTTCTCGGACTGCGAACAAACATGAGATTCGAGAAGCTTACATGTCCATCCCACCCTACCCCTGATTTTGGAAGGGAGGGCCGTTGCCTCCCTCCACTCAAGACACCAATGTCCTATTCGGACGCTCTTCTGGCTGCATTTGCATGCATGAGCCAATGACGCTGATGCTGCTTGACCTCTGCAGCATCATCGGCATCGTTGAGTCCCTTTTTCTCACTTGAAGGCCTCAGAGCCTACCTCCTACGAGCTGGCATTGCGCGCCTTTGACGTCGGGCCTCATCCCGTGCTGCACGCACGGGTCACTAAAAGCTCAGCTTTACAACCCGGCGGTTCATGCCCCAAATCTAGCATCACTGGACTTCGTCGTCCTCCTTCTCTACGTGCAGGAGATGAACAAAAAGTTTGGCACAGAAGCAGGCCGCAAAATGAAGAAGAGCACCCCTTATGATGATACTGCTGAATGGTCAGAAGGCCGGGAAAGGCCCTTGACAAAATCAGAAGCCAATTATGCCTGTGACGCCAGCGCGCACGTAATCAGAAATTGAGACGGCTTGAGGTTCAGGGCGTGCGGGTCGAGGGCCCTAAGGCTTTTCAAACCCACATTGCATGACACAGTTTCAACCCCACGTTGCTTTACTCACTTTCGCCGCCATGATTTTGTATAAACGTCGCATGGCCTCAGTATACTATAGTCTATGAGTGGTAAGAATACTAATATTCATAAAAGTAGCAATAGTAGTGGTACTAGTACTGGTACTTGCAGTAGTACGGTCAGAGCCTGCGGCTTGCCCGCACAGATCTCCCTGGCCTAAACGAAGGAGGAGTTGAAATGCCCGGGCTCACAACTTGACGGCTCCTGAGGCACCTTTGGATCGGAAGACTTGCAGGCAAGTGAGAGGCCTCCACTCGCAATCCCTACGCAAAAGCAATGTTTCTGGAGCTTCAGCCAAGAAATCCTGTCAGGGCCTATGCGCGAAAATTGCACGGGGCCTGTACTTTACAAAGATGTGCATACACCCTAAAAACCCAAAACTGTAAACCCTAAAAAAACCCAGACACTGAAACCCCTAAACCATAGAAAACCAACAACCCTACAGACCCTAAACCAAGTAAAGACAACCCCGAAAACATTAAACCGTAACCCTAAAAACCCTAAACCCTAGAAACCCTAAAAGCCATAAACACCCCAAGCCCTAAAGTTTAGCCCTCAAACCAAAACCCTAACAACCCCAAACTTCAAACCCTAAAAACCCTAAACCCTCCCAAAAACTAAAGACCCTAAACCCTGAAAGTCCTAAAAAATCCTGAACACCCTAAACCCTTACAGACATAAACACCCTAAGCCCTGAAAACCTTAAATCCCCAAAACCCTAAACCCAAAAACCCCTACACAATCTTAACCTTAACAGTCATAAACATCCTAAGCCCTTAAAACCCTGAACCCCAAAAACCCTAAAACCCTGAAACAGTAAAAGACCTAAATCTCAAACCCGAAAAACAACAGTAAAAAAACATCAACCCTACATGCTAAAATCCAAAACAGCCACATACACCCTTAGCCCCAACAGCCATAAACACCCTAAACTCTAGAAACCCTAAACCTCAAACATAAACCCTAAGAGCCTTTAAAACTCTAACCCTAAAAACCCTAAACCTAACAGCACTAAATCCGGAAAAAACCTTAACCACAAATACACTAAGCACTAAAAACTTAAACCCCAAACCCCAAAACCTGAAATCCCTAAACCGTAAACACCAACAACCCCACAAACCCTAAAACCTATAAGCCATTAACCCTACAAACACCAAACCCTAAAACCCAAAAACCCTATAAACCCTAAACCCAAAATAACTACCCTAAGAACCCTACACCCAAAAAAGGACTAAACCAAAAAATCCTGAACCAAACCCTGAACCCTTATTTTTGGTTTAATTTAAACACCCCAAAGCCTCAAATCCCTAAATCCTCGAAGCCCTAAACCCTAAAAGCCTTAAAGCCCTAACAAACCCTGAACCCTATGCTACCTGTGGGCGAACCACAGGTCGTGCTTGGGCTTGAACTGTCTAGTACTAGCGCTACAGCTGCTGTTGCTTCTTCTTCTTCTTCGATGCGCGATTGCTTTGGTGCAACCTAGCGAGCCTCAAAAATGACTTAGTCATGAGGCAGGTGAGCCGCCACTAATCGCAAGCACTCACATAACAGTCCGGGCCTTGGCCCCAGCAGCTGCATACTAAAGAACTCCGTTGGCAGGATAAGACTAAACATAACTCAACATACACCCCGGGAGATCAAAATTGCCCCAGACACCGCATGCAAACACTGTACAATGCAACGGAGCCGTGAAAACTAACTAAATCTCTGCAAGCTCGCAACGCCATTCAGATTGCTGGACCTGGCACATCGAACTTCCGCATCAGCCGGCTCACAAGCAAGACATGTCTCCAGCATCGATGGACTGATTTTGAACTCAGCGGCAGGCAGCGTGTAGTCTGAACCCAAGTCTGCGCAACTCCATCTGGTCCGCGGCACTTAACAACTCTGCATTGCGCACATGATACCCAATCAAAATTAGGCGGTTTCCAACCCAGCTTGAGGTAGCATGACGGGTTCTGGCATCAAAGGAAATGAACGGCCTAGAAATCTGGACCAATCTACCCAAGATTCCACCCATCTGGCAGTTACCGGCACCATCCTCAATCCACAGCTCCCCTTTCTCAAAGTCCGAGGCAGGAACCACGATATTTGGTATGGTAGCCGAGTTCCCTGAGCATCCGATATTGATTA